CGGTAACATCACTGACCTCGTCGCTACGGCCTGACGTGCCCCGAAATCCTCGCTACCTCGTGCTCAGCGCAGCGCTGCAGCGCGGCGTCGTCGGAGGGGGGCGCGGACGATTGCGGAAGCACAAGTCTGACGAGCTCACCCACTTTGAACGCTCGCTTGCAGCGCACGGCAGGTGGGTCCTGCAGGATCTCCAAGTGCAAAATGTTCGCCTGGTACTTCAGCGCTTGGAGCCGCAGCGCCATGTTGCATGCCCCCTTGAACGCGTCCATCGCCCAACCCTCGTGGGCTGGCGGCAAGTGCTCCTTCGTGAACGGCAACTGCTCCTGCACCCTGGACGTCAACTTGTAATTCTCGAGCAATATGTTTACTTCAATCCGCCCGCTCGGCTAACTGCTCCGCGCGCTGCAGCGCATCGACCAACCCATTGCAACTTAAGTACAGGAAATACAATATCGCAGTTACTACCTCCTCCTCCCCCCTCCCTGCTCCCCACGGGCGGCGGGGTGGCTGCAGCCGCGCAATGGGGATCTCTTCGCCCACCAGGTCGCCGTGCAACTTCTTCTGAGCGGTGATCCCATTCTCCGAGATGGAGAGCACCTCGAAGACGTCATCCACCTCCTTCTTCTGGACGATGTGCTTCCCCACGTCGAACCCTGCACGCCGCATGCGGAAGACGTTGCTCTTCAACTCAGCGGCCGACGACGCTGCCGCGCGCGGCGCGTCTGCATCGGCGCTCGCTGGGAACTCGGGTGCGCTATCGCCTTGCTTGTCGGTCTGCACCGCCTTGCCGAACTCGATCCCCAAGCTCTTCACCTGCAGCTGGGCTGGCTCCCCGAGCTCATGGAGGGAGACCTCTCTGGAGGGTCGCTGCAGCGACATTGAATGGCGAAAAGCAGGGAGGGAGGGAAACAAGGAGCACACGAAAGGTGGCGTGAGAAGATACCTGTGCTATATCTGCTACGCATCCGAAAGTGCGGTCTCCTGGCGCTCGCTTCTTCACCAGGTACGTGGCACAGCGGACATCCAACTTGTGATGTGCAAGAAGCCCTGCTCCGCTCCGATATCCAACCTCTTCACGAGCGACCTTGCGTCGGCCATGAGGTTGTCGGCCGCAGCCACGTCCGCCTTGCGGGGCGCGACGTGGACGATCTCGTTTGCCTTGATCCGCCCATCGCCTCAGCGATTGCGTTTGGGAATACAGCAATGTAACGGTGCGTGTGTGTGTGTGTGTGTGTGTGTGTGTGTGTGTGTGCGGGGAGGGGGGAGGGGTGGGTACGCAGTTCTAACAATGCAGCGCAATGCATAGATGCGCTGCAGCGCATGTCACTACAAGGGGGCGCCGACAAGCTTATGGATGGTCCTGCACATGCTATCCACCACGTGCTCGCCTGAATAGTTGGCCTTCACGAGCGCCGCTACGACATACGGGTACGACTCCTGGTGCTTCCCCCATTTAATCGAATTCAACTTGCGCCAGAATTCAGAGCCGCACATCAAAGTTTGCCCCGAGACGTCCACATTCGTGAAGGTCTTGAGGGCTTCATCTATTTCACGGAGAAGTTCTCCGTTTTGTGGCCCGAGCTCAACAAACTTGCACAAGTCAGCGATCCACGCCTTGCAAGGTGGGTTCGCGTGGCCCGCTTGCTCGGCGATGTCGCGCCAATCGGGCTTGCTGGAACCCTCAGCGAGGCTGTGTGCCAAGAGCATCCGCCCACCTGCCTGCAGCAAGCGCCGAGCCGATCAAGTGCTGCAGCACGGTAAGATATAATGCTCCTGCTCCTCGTTCTCACCTCCTCCCCAACGCGCTCCCACTCATCGCCCTCCTCGTGCATCATCCTGGTCCTTACTACATACCGCTATATACTATAGTGGGGATAGGCTGCAGCCTGACCGAATGATCTCGGTCTCGTGAACCGCCTCCCTGACGTCGGCGTTCAAAGCCCTCTGCACGAAGTTCTTGAGGCCCTTCACTTTGGCCACCGCGTGCTTGATGATCAACCACGTCAGGCCCTTTTTGACTGCCGTCGCAAGTTGCGGATGCAACGCGCGCAGCTTTTCGGGGTCGATGTTGTCCCGAGAGTCTGCCAGCGCCTTTACTGTGGTCGGCGCCTTGGCCAGCACGCAGCGGAGGAAGACGTTCGTGTGGGAGCCGCCCACTGACGTATACCGCAATGAGTCCAGCGGGGGGCACCGACCCCCGCTGAGCCGCGAAAGGCGGTCGTTCGCCATCGCGGTCTCTTCCAACTGCGCCCCCTGCGGGGCCTCGAAGGCAGTGGCTGCAGCCGTCTTGGCCAAGACGAAGCCCTGGGCGCAAATCTTCGCGCCTAAATTGTGAGCCCGCGCAGGGTTCACTAACGAACCGCTGCGGTTCCGAATGTCGATGCCCATCTGGTTCGGTGGGACCTGCTGGTAATACGCTAGCCCCTCCGCCAGCAGGAACTCCTTCAGTTGATCCCACCCCGATGCCAACCTCCCCGAGGAATTGCTTTCCTCGATGTACTGCAAGATCTGCTCCTCCTGACGCGCCTGCAGCGCCATGCCAGCGCTATATATAGCGCCGAATGCAACGTGCGAGCCCGCGGGCGCGACGGCGGATGCGGCGCGCGGCCGCAGCTTGAGACAAGCTGTCGCGCGGCGTGCGCGTGAACATCGACTTGCATGGACATGCAACTTGCGAGCAAAAATGTTGATCTGGGCTGCAGCCCGAGGCCCATGAAGCACGAGCGCGCACGCGCTGCAGCGCGATGCGACATCACGACGACAACCATTTTTTTGCGCTGCAGCGCAAAGTAACATACGTGCTATCAAATTTGGAGCGCTGCAGCGCTCAATGCGACCATTGAAAAACAACGAATACAACAAAACATAATTGACATGTGCATTCAAATTCCTTGCAAACGGAGCTGGGCGAAAATGAAGATCCGAACAACGTGCAACTAGAAAACATGCATTTAACTCAACATTCAGCGCTGCAGCGCTTCATATTCAGCGCACGCAGCGCTTCATGTTCATATAAATCCGAAGGCAGCGCTGCAGCGCTTCTCATATTTAAAGCAAAATCCAGGACACCGACTCCAAATCAAAATGCAAAATTTGTAGCGCTGCAGCGCTCAACGAACAAACTCAGCTCTTTCAAGACGTGGATTTACCTTTTTTCCCTGTGCATGGCCCTTGGATAACAAGTGCAATGTAACCGCTAAGTCACTTATAACCTACTTAGCAAACTAGCTATAAGCGGTTATAAGTGGTTAGCTAAGTGCGCTAAGCACTTAGCTAACTGGTTATAAGTGGATAGCTAAGTACTTACTAAGTCATTACTAAGTGGGCCACTTAGTAATGACTGAGTAAGTACTTAGCTAAGTCCGCTAACTACTTACTAAGTACTTAACTTAGCGTAGTAAGTATGTTAAGTACTTAGCAACCGCCGCGGCCATCCAAGCAGAGCCCCGAATCATCAGGGGTAACTCGGGTCAGGGCTAACTCGGGTTGGTTTTTCGGGATTCCGAACCCGAGTTACCCCGGACCCGAGTTACCCCGGATAACTCGGGCGCCCAAACCGCTCTGGCGCGGGCGGGCGGAAGCCGGGCAAGACCTCTGGGAAGTTGTCTTCGTTTTTCCGGGAGGAAGCCCGTGGACTGTTTCGCGTGCCGCGCCCCGTTCCGGGGAGGATTTGTTGTTTTGCTGTTTGCTTTTGTGTGTGTGTGTGTGTTTCCTCGGTTTTCCGGGAAGGCCGTTTTAGCAGCCACAGTTTTAGCAGCCTTCGCCCGGCTTTCGAGACGGCACCACGGCGCCTCCGTTCTCGCCCCTCCAGGAAAGAAGAAAAAGGGAGCAGCAGTGGGCTCCACGGGGCCAGGTGGTAGGTCTGGGGAGGGCGCAGGAGGGACGATAGAGGAAGGCGGGGGGGGGGCTGAGGGAGGAGGCGAACCCGCCATGGTCGCCGGTACTTGGTGCCCCGCCCCGGACGCAGGCGGCGCCTCGGGCCAGAGACCCCCCCCGCGACCCTCGCTCAGCCGAATCTGGCGCGGCGGCGAAGGGCGACCGAAATCGGTCCAGTACGGTCGTGTTCGACGAGGAGTGGAAGTTTGCGGTGCGTGAGGGGGGAGGAGGGGGAGTCATCAGGAGGAGGGTGAGGACGAGTTTGGGATGGGAATGTAGAGGAATCTCCACGCTTACCCCGGGGCCCGCGAAAAATATGTTTGGCATGTCTGTTGGAAGTCCTCCATTGGGGGCGGTGGGGGGACTCCTGCTAGCGTTCTGGCGAAGCGACCCGCAAACCGCTGACACGCCATGCCAGATGTTTGCCAGTGGCAGGCATATCAGGGGGCTTGTCGTCACCGGCCTGACAGTGACTTGTCAGCGAGTCCGTGGACCACCGGACGCATGAGGGAGGAGCAGGGAGGAGAATGGATGATGAGGGGGAGGAGGACGAGGAGGAGGAGGGGGAGGAAGAAGAGGAGGAGAAAGAGGGGGAGGAGGAGGGAGAGGAGGAGGAGGAGGAGGGGAGGAGGAGGAGGAGGAGGAAGATGAGGAGGAGTAGGAGGAGGAGGAGGAGGAAGAAAGGAGGGAGAGGAGGAGGAGGAGGAGGAGGAGGAGGAGGAGGAGGAGGAAGGAGGAGGAGGAGGAGGAGGAGCAGGAGGAGAAGGAGGAGGAGGAGGAGCAGAGGGGAGGAGGAGGAAGAGGAGGAGGAGGAAGGAGGAGGGGAGGAGGAGGAGGAGGAGGAGGGACGAGGAGGAAGAGGAGGAGGAGGAGGGGAGGAGGAGGAGGAGAGGGAGGAGAAGGAGGAGGAGGAGGACTAGGAAAAGGAGGGGGAGGAGGAGGAGGAGGAGGAGGAGGGGGGACGAGGAGGAGGAGGAGGAGGAGGTGGAGTAGCAGGAGGAGGAGGAGGAGCAGGAGGAGGAGGAATTTCTGTTAGTGCGCCTTTGTATCAGCCTAGAACACGTGCACAGCCCCACCCCCAGTGCGTACTCGGCGGTTTTTCTTCAATGCGTGTTCATGCCGAGGAGGTTTTGGCTTTGATGACGGAGAGCATCAAAAGGACCTTCCCCGCGTGTTTCCGTAGTGTCTGGGTCAGAGGTGGAGAGATGTTCTCTTACGTAACTCATCATCTGCCTCCGTCTCCTCTTCCTTAACTATGCCCCCTCCCCCTGTTCTCTTCCCGCTACCCCCGTATCATTCATCTCTTTGGTCGTGCGATCGTTTATCTGCACAGCCACGACAGGCTGAAATGTAGTAGATCGTATGCTTTTCGTTTGACAGAGCAAGCGAGGTTGTGTCGAGCCGTGTGCTAAGATTGTGCCCGTGCCTTGTGCATGGTGCATGGCCCTTCGATTAGTCTTTGCACTCCTCAGCGAAGGTCGATTCGTATGTCAGGTGTGACTACTCTCTCTCATCCTATTGGTTCCTTGCCTTCCTGGCACCTGGACTACTATTCTAAGCGCGTCAGCACTTCTATCGGCCGCAACTCCGCTGGGGAGACGCGCTCGCGCTGATGTGTCTTGTACGCGTCACGTTCGTGAGTTCAGATCCATTGTTTTTCGCAGTGGCCGCATACGCCTCCTATCCACACTGGTTCTCTCCACCGCAGGTGGTCTGGTATATGTGGTTGGCGACCAGTTTTCCAGTGCCTTCACATTTGTGGCTGCGATTGGACACGAACCCGATGTTTCCAGAATCGAGTTCACCAATCTGCTTGCAGTACTCAGTGCACGTGGTTGATTTGATGAATGTGGTGCTTTGGTCAGCTTGCTCGTGGCGTCTGTCTTCGCGTGACGACATCTCAGTGGCGCGCGCGACGCGTGTGCTCGGACTCCAGTCGAAGCCTTCATGCATGTCCAAGCCCAGCTTGCGTGTGCCCGCATACCCGCCACCGCGTTGTGTTTTTATGTGTCGCCCGTTGACTCCGCGCCTCACGATGAAGCTGTTTCGTTGTAAAGCGTCCAGTTACCACGCACCCGTCGTTTGGATTCAGCCACGCGTCGGAAGAACAGACAGGCCTGTCGCGCCGTCCGCTGCGCCCTGCGCAAACGACGTCGAAGGGCCAAGATGATCCCAGGTCATGTTTCTGTTCGCTCCATCTGACCCTCCAGGGGTGCAGCGGCCCATGCAGAGGAGCCCGAGGAGGAGGAGGAGTACATATGCTCCTCTCCGCCTCATCATATAGTTGCCTTTCCTGCTGCCTGCCTTGTCATACCTTGCCATTAGTATCACTGTATACCGCAGCTACTTTTGCTGCTCGAGTGAGAAAAGGAGCGTGCCGCTGCGCGCCCGCGTCCGGGCGTCGGCCGGCCGGCCTCCTCCCTTCCTATACTTGAGTACAGTTGCTTAACGGATAACATATTGTTTCATCGATGTCTCAACCCATACCCTCTACCACCGAACGTAGTAAACATGAGACCTTAATTCCTTTGGCATTTTACCCCGATTCTCTGAGGAAAGACTGGTTATCAGCCGAAGCCCGCGACCAAGTCGCCGGGGGAATGAGCTATCATGAGACAGCCGAATGGCCCGCGAGATTTCACGATGTGCATCGAGACGGGCAAGAACAACAGGACAGCGGCCCAGGGGGGAGGGGCCGTCTCGGTTTCTGGACGTTCCCGACGGCTTTTCTAATTCAGCCGCGTATCTTTGCATTACATCACGTGTTAAGTGTGTTTTCTTTATTGTGTCGCCCATTTCTTTTCAACGGTATATATATATATATATATATATATATATATATTTGTTTGTTTGTTTATTTGGTTAGTCTCATCCTTTTTGGCTCAATGTTTCGCTAATGTTTTGCCCCCGCCGTGAGCGGGCGATCGCTCTTTACCCAGACTAATCAGAAAGCACGCAGTGGTTCTAGCGAACTACTCCCAGAGCGTCGCTGCAACGCTGCTCTGGAAGCTACCCCCAAACGCCTCAGACTCAGGCGTAATCCTTGCAAGCCTTCCCGAACGCCACCAGGCGGTCCTCCTTCTTGGTCACGAACCAGTACTGGTACTCACGAACGTACTGCATCACATCAGATCGACGAACGTGTCGAGGTTTCGCCCATTGCTTGTTGTTGCCGAAGAAGCCGTCCATGTATTGCGTCCCTCCCCATACCTTCTTCCCGTCGATATTGAACATCTTCGTCCACTCTTCCTTCCCATGAACGACGGCGATCTGCTTCGCTCGATTGCCGAAGATCTTCCTCTTGTTGACAAGGGAATCGTACGCAGCAGCGGAGTCGCTGGAAAGAGTGCCAGACTTGAAGTGCTTAGTCAAGAACTTCTTCCCCTCTGGGATGGACAGAGCTGGCGGGCCAGGTGGCACCAACCTCTTGCCGTCGAACTTGATTGTCCCCCCGCTCATCGTCTTCTGCGACCCCTTGATCCTGTACCTCTGCTGTTTGGTGTGTGCGTGTGTTGTTGCTTTCGTTGTTTAGTTTTTGGTGTGTGCGTGTGTGCTGTTGTTTTTGTTTACAGGAGCCTCGCTGCCCACGGCGCAGGGGCGTCCGTGGCCATGCTCCGCACGTCCCCGCCGATCTCGCGGACCACCTGGGAGTCGAACTCTTGCTTGTCGCAGGCCCAGTGGAACCGCGCGCGGAGCAGGAAGCGGAGGCAGTTCCGGAGGTCCCAGGAGAGGTCCTCCGGGTTGAAGCGGGGCGCGACGCCGCTTACCCCGTCGCACACCACCCCCCACTGAGCCGCCGCCGCCGTCATGTCGGCGTTGGGCTTGTCGAGGAAGGGGTGCTGCGCCTTGGCGGCGTGCCAGGAGGCGAGGCGGAGCATGATCGGCATTGCTGCCGCGTGGGTGCGTGGAAGCTGCGCCGCGAGTTCTGCGTCGAGGCAGGCTCGGGCCAGAATAGGTTGCAACACAAAAAACGGAGTTGGTGTGGATGAGGAAGGAGGGGCGAGAAGGCGGGAGCGAAGGAGATAGGAAGGCAAGAAGAGGGGGCGGAGCAGGGCAGAGGGACGAACCGCGGAAGCGGAGGAGGACCAGGATAAGGATCAAACAGTCGTGCTGCGCTCCTCTGGAGCATTTCGTCTGTTGTTTGCCTGGGATTGTTTCGCTTCCGACTGGTGTGAGCTTTACGCCCCCCTGGAGCATTTCGCCCCGTATCTGGCTGGAGTGGGGATGTGGTGAGGAGGGGCCCCTCTAACCCACGGGGGGGGGGGGCGCAGCGGGCAATCTCGGTCACCACGGGGGGCGTCTGTGAGGGCTACTCACAAAACAATATGTGGCGTTGAAGAGGATGAACCTGTTTGGGTTTGCGGTTTGCCTCGATATGTGCGTTTTCGTTTGGCAGAATCGGTAATGATATGCGGTTTTGGTAGGTGAAACCCGTGATGTTGCAGCGTTTCGTTCGGAAGAAAGTTGTATGTTTGTGCGTTTCGGTGGATAGAAACCAGTGCCAGTTTTAATTTTTGGTAGGGTACGACCCGCGGGAGCCAGTAAACACATGGTTTTGCCGCGACGGAACCCGTGTGGTTGTATTGTTCCAGTCGGGGGATACATGAGATGTTGTGTGTGTTCGGTTGGCCGGACCAGTAAGCGATTGAGGATTTCGCATTGTAATAATTTACGTGGGTAGCGCCCCGAGCTGCCGAACACGCATGCATATAGTTCTTCGAGCTGCAGCAACGTATGCACATACCGTTTTCCGAGCTGCAGATCTGACACTGCTCTCCGATCTCGGTCTCGGCCAGCGGGCAAACGTTTGTAAAAAAAAAAAAAAAAAAAAAAAAAAAAAAAAAAAAAAAAAAAAAAAAAAAAAAAAAAAAAAAAAAAAAAAAAAAAAAAAAAAAAAAAAGAAAAAAAAAAAGCGTGTTTCTCTATGGGCCCCGCGGAAGTGTGGCAGGCGTTCGGAATTGCACGCGTCGCGCAAGCGCGGTTTGGAGGCCGCCGTGCTTGCGTGCTTGCACTGTTTGCATGGTGCCCCCGATCTCGTCATCCCCAGGCTATCCTTTTATATATTGGGCTGGCCCCAAGAAGTAATCGTACTTTGCTTAGGTTACCCCCTGTATTCTTGCGGTCGGGTCCGTTCCTGTGGCCCTGGACCCATTGCTGGCCCGTCGCCGATAACGCCTTGCGATCGTACAATACAGTCGGGGCTTTGAAGAAGGAACCCTTTTCGTTGGGGAGGGGCGCCGTTTTTCCATGAGTGTTTCACAGCTTGCCTCAGGCTTTTCTTATGTTTTCGACAGGAAATCGAAGGTTAACTCATGGAGGAAAGGGGCCTCGTTCCTTATTTAGGGTTCCTTAGGTCAACGCCCCGATTGTATTGTACCACCGAGTACCGCCATCCACCATCTCATAGCCATTTCAGGTTCAGAGGAATTCAGAATTATTTGCATATGGAGGCTGCCGTGCAAGATGCCTTTGCACCGCGATGCAAGCTGCTGCGTGCCCCCAGCGCCAGCGGGTGTTTGTGCGGGCTACTTCGGCAGGAGGTTACTTGCGCAGCAGCTGCGAACGTTCTGTTCGCCGTCGGTTCCGCCCATGTGCTGAACCCTACGTCGATGCGGCGGGCGGTCAAATCAAGTGTGCTTAAGTTTGCTGCAGGTGTGTGCGACATCGTGAATTTCGTGCGGATCCTGTGCGATTTGGACGCAGGCGCGGGCGATCCCCTCGATCAATGTTGGATGCGGGTGGACCGAGCCTGCGCGGACAGCCTGCGCCCACGACCGCCATCGGGCCAGGTTGTTCCAGCTGGAGCTCCAGGTCATGGCCCGCCCGGTGCCCCTGCTGCTGGCCCTCTGGTGCCGCTGTGTCAGGACGATCAGATCGTGCCGCGTGTGCCCGCCAACCGAGAAGAGCGACTCGAATCCCTAGTTTCGAAGTGGAGAGACGTTGCCAAACAGGAGACACGAAAGAGAGAGAGGCGAGACATCGAGATATTTGCCCTGAAACAGAAGGTGATCGAGCTCGAGGCACATCTAAAGGATCAGCGCATGCTTACGAAATATGTCAAGGTTGATGAAAACAGGATTCGGTTTTGCATGGCGACTCCGTCTATGTACAGGCTTGGTATCAAATGTTCGATTGGGCATTGCGGAACGATGGCCACTT